TTCATTCTCCTCATTTAATTTACTTCACATTGCACTTACCAGAACCCCCAAACTTTCACCTTTTCATGGCCAACACATCATTTTCTGTGTGTTCACCTGAGAGCCTTCATTACATCAAAAACCTACTTTGATAACCCTCTTGCTGATCGACTTTAATATAAATTGTTTATATCATATGCATTTAGCATATACATTGCTCCCTTTTATTTTTAGACCATCATTCTCATCTATTTCTCAGAGGCCCTATCACTGAAATGCTGTATGTTCACCTCTCAGTAATTTATATTTAGGATAAGAAAGCCCTGTGTAGATGGTACAGGCAGGTTCACAAAACATACGTGAACTTTCTTCCTTCAGGTTTGAGGCCACAGTATAAAAAACTTTTGCAAAATTTGCAATGAATCTGTACAATGTGACTACCATAACAGACGTGAATTTTTAAATTGATGTTCACCAAGCTCACTTTCAATTTGATACAAATTCTTAAAAATGTTTTTGCTATATGTAGATGTAATATTACAGAAAAAAAAAAATGACCATGAAGCTGAAAAACAGAGCATGCAGATGGCAACCACAAAATACTGCCAAGAAGAAAAAGCAGTTTAATCTTTTCAAGTTATCTTTATGAAATCGAACACTTGCATCTTTTACCTATATGTTTACCTATTTCTAGGCTATCAAATAATATGGAAACTTTAAAGTTAAACTACATTAAGTGAAGAAAAATAGTTTTTATTACTTAAATTTCAAATGGCTATATGGATCGGGATCAATAGATAGTGCTGGCAAGCTGAAGAGCTGTATGGAAGCAACTGTCCTCAGGAAATACAAAACCAGAAGATCTCTAAGAAAAAGCTCTCATTGATACACAAGAGCCTCTAGGCACACATGGAGCACAGCACAGAAGCCACAAGGGCCCAGGATTGTCACTGCCACTCAATGTGTGAACATCTCCCACCCTAACAAAAGACAGAGTTCTCTTGGCCTAAATGAGAAGTGGCAAAGTTCTCTATCTTGTCCGATGTCTTAAAACAATCATCTGAATGCCCCAGAGTAAATTAATAATATTTTTCAAATTTTTTTTCTTCTATTAAATATATCTTTAACAAAATATTATGGTACTTTAGGCAGATAGTATAGTCATGGCTGATATAAATAGA